AGAGGAGAGAGAGAGAGAGAATTTTTAATATTTATTTTTTAGTTCTCGGCGGACACAACATCCTTGTTGGTATGTGGTGCTGAGGATCGAACCCGGGCCGCACGCATGCCAGGCTATCGCACTACCGCTTGAGCCACATCCCCAGCCCTCCCTTTTTATTCTGAGACAGGGTCTTACCAAGTTGTCCAGGTTGGCCTTGAACTTGCAATCCTCCTGCCTCAGTCTCCATGAGTAGCTAGGATTACAGGTGTGTGCCACAATCCCTGGCTCCCAATTAACATCTTAGGTACCCATTCCAGGCCCTGGCACCTTGAGTCTCTGAGGCTGGCATGTCACAGATTTGGAGCCAGGAACAGCAGGGCAGAGGGAGCACAGCCTACACTCTCCTTGGGCTCTGCCTGCCTTTTTAGGATAACAGTGAACTCCAGACCAATGATGAACTGATGGACATACAAATACAGAAAACAGACACTGCTTCTTCTTAGGATAAGGCATCCTTTGGATTCATCCAACACCAAAGCATTCTGGAAATACCTGACCTTGGACACTCTCCCCTGTGGTTTCCCTCCCTCACAACTAGACTTTTCATAACCCCTGATCTCTATTTCATTCACCTACCTCATTTCACCAAGGAGCATGTTCCAGGGCTTTCAGGATGAAACCTGGGATCTTCCCCCAACTGACTAGCAGGCAATGTAAATGTTTTGGAGAAAATGAGGACTACAAACAGGAAGTCCATGCCACAGTTGTCCAAATCTCTTGACTGTGCCCTTTGTAATTGCAGAAACAGGGGCCCATCTGATAGCCTAACCAGAATAGTTTACCTGTTATCACATCTCTTCTGCTTCTTGTAATTTAATTTGGGGGACTTCAGAAGTGGGTTTCTCATTCTCTGCTTTATAGGACAAGCTGCATGTTAGAAGGATTTTGGCTTCATGGCTCACTTAACCTAATGTGGATTTGAATTAGATATATACAGGTTCCAGGAAGGCTGATGAAAGAAAACAAAATCACTCAGTATATCTATTCACAGCAGTACTGGGAATTGAACTCAGGTCCTCATGCATGCTAGTAAGTACTCTACCACTGAGTTTACRTCTCCAACCCACAGCAGTATGGTACTAATAAGGCAAATGCTGTACCCTTTGCCTAGATCACCTTTCCCTGACAGGATCACTTTTTACTTGATCCTGTACTTCCTATAGGTCTTTGCTCAAATATTTTTCTCAAGGAGGCCCATCCTGGCTACCCTATTAAGAGCTCCAACCCCATCAGGTGTTGATATATGATTGCCTTACTGGTCTGCAATCATATATCACCACCTGATGTATAGTTATTTGTTTTTTTATCTGTTTCCATCTGAATGTCAGCTTCAGGATTTTGTTTTGTTATGATTCCCTTCATTTTTTGTTCCATATTGTGTTCCCTTGCACTTAAAATAGTGCCTGGTATAGAATTCAATGTCATTCAGTAGTAATATTGATAACAAAAGCCCTTCTCACAACAGAACTGACAGCATAACCTAATTCCCCATGAATAGGATGCATGTGACATACTTACAGGTCTAGTCATAATCCCCAGTCAGAGCCCTCTGCACAGGGACAATAGCATATGTTTAGGTGTTCTGCCTCAGCCCCCTTCTTAAAACTCCTCATTAACTTCATTCCCTCGCAGCCAGGGCCTGTCCTGGGTCTACCTATATATGTCACTGAGGCCAGGTACCCAGGACAGGGCTGTACAAATTTATCTTTGACAAATTCCATAGGTCTGGGGACCCTTACCTTGTTGACTCTGATAATCTTTGGAAGGCTTCTGGATCTTCCCAGTTAGCACTGTGGCTTCTATGAGCAAGTTCTAGAGGCAGGCTGCCTGGGTTCTAATCCTAATGTGACCACTGAACTACTATGTGAGCTTAGCCAAGGGACTCTGCTTCATTTTCTCACCTTCTTGCCTGTGGGTAGCATCTACATCCACCTCAAAGGGGGTTTGTGAGAATTAAATGAAACAATCACATGAAGCAATCACATGAAGCCTATCATGTAATAAGAACTCAGGCTGGGGTTGCGGCTCAGTGGTAGAGCACTTGCCTCACATGAATGAGACACTGGGTTCAATCCTCAGCATCACAGAAAAATAAATAAAATAAAGGTATTGTGTCCATCTACAGCGTATATATGTATATATACACACTCAGAAAACATGAACTATGATACTGCTATGAATGGGATCACCCTGAAAGGTTCTGCCCATGATGACTAAAAAGAACACTAAGAAGATTCCTAGAATGCTGGCAGCAAAAACTGTGCCTCTGACTGGTGTCCTAGTTGGCATACTTGGGGACATCAGTTTATCCACATTTGAACAGCCTGCTTCTCTTCACAAGATCCCACAGGCCCTGAGATCAGCTGGGAATTGGTTATCGGACCCCCACTTTCCCCCTATTCTAAAAGATGACAGAATTAGTTGTGGCATGGAATGTCTAAAGACAATTTCAATGAAATTGGAATTGAAATTGGATGCTAGCCTCAGGGTCACATTGCCTGGCCATGTGATGAAAAAAAACTGCTGCAGGGAATAATGGATCTGAGAGGGAGAAAGAAAAGGCTATTCTATTACCCTATCATGGAGAAGGGAGTGGGTACTTCATATTGGTAATCATCTAGATGGATAAAGAAAGGGCTACTTTGAAGGAGCCGTTTTCAAAATAGAAAGTATGTGGTCAGAAAGAGCCCTGAGGTAACCACAGCAGCCCCTGGCCCTTCCCGGGAGCATTTGGTGGACTTACCGAAGAGCAGCGGCTTCAGGCTGAGAGTTCGGATGAAGTGATCCCYGTCGGTAACCAGCTGGACCTTACGCTCGTACCCCACCTAAAGGAAAGGCGCACAGCGGATAGATGAGGTGCCAGGGTGCCAGGTCACACTACTCAAAACGGGCTCAACAGCTGGCCAGTGCGTGGGACTCGCATGGCTTGTGGGTCAGTGTGGGGGACAGGGCCTGGACCGCGGCGTGGGGGCTGGTTGTCCTCACCTTAATGCCCTCGAGGCGGGTGAGGGGGCCCAAAGTTGACTTGGGCCGGGGGCTTTGGGCGCGGCGTTGGGGTCCGGGATCCGTGCTCTCATCGCCGTTGCTGTAGTGAACGAAGAGCAGTAGAGCCAGCACGTTGCCTAGGTACAGGTGCACGAACACCATCAGTACCAAGAAGTAGGCGCGTGAGCATATGCCGCGGGGCTTGCACAGCGGCCGCACCGGTGCATCTTGGTCCTCGCCCGGCCGGGTTGTTGCCCCAGCCAAGCTGTGCTCCGGCGGCACCCAAAGAGGATTCGCAGCTTCATCCGCGACTGCGGCCTCCGGACACAGATCTGTAGCTGCAGCAGCCGCCGCCATGGCGCCTAGGTCTCGTGCGCGCGCGCGCCCAGGGGAGGGGCCACAGGGTGCCTGCGCTGCGCAGTCGCTGGGACAACAGCCTCAGAGTCCGCTCACACTGCTGTCACCAGGAGACCGTTCCTGGGGACAAGCACCTGCCACAGTCGCACATAGTTCTCGGCCTCTCTGTACCTTGAACCCCAGCCCACACTGGGTTTTCTTTTCCAGGAGCTAAACACTCCCCAGAGCAGACCATTCACCAAATGTAGATCTAGACAGGAGCCGCACTATTAAGGCAAATCCATCTGGTAATTTATCTGTCCTTGGTTAAGACCCCCCTTCCCTCCTCCCACCCAGAAAAGTATAGGATCTGCAATTATCTTGCTCCCAGGAGTGGGGGTTGGGGAAGGGAGTAGCCGCATGGAGGAGACAGCACCAGGAGATGACTCAATACTGCGGAGGCCGATGACTGAGCACGTGATGATGTAGCAGGTCCCACGACCTTCTTGTAGGTCCATACCGCGGTGGGTCTACATTTTCTAGGGAGTCCTGCAGGAATCAGGCCTTAGGAAGAAGTTGCCTGAGTGTGTGTGTGCGCGGGGAACGGGGAGAAGGTCAGAAGATTCTGGGGAGGTCAGAGGATTCCTGGAGGAGCCCTGGCATCAGGAAGGTCAGCTTTGGGGGGGGGGGTCACCACCACCACCACAGTAACACCCAGGAATGCGGGAGGTGCTCCATGTAAGGAACACTTTGTCTCAGAACTGGCACATAGTAAGAGGGAGGAAGGGACTTTTCCACTATTGAGACACCATCACCTCAGATTATCATAAAAAATGGGAGTGGAAGGACATATAGTGGCCCAGTGCCAAGATATTTTTGTGCTGCTTTTCTAGGTTTGGGTTATCCTCAGGATATGCACACACTCTAACCACCCATGCATTCAAGAACAACACATTAACACTGAATTTTCTGGTCTTCTCAGTCAGGGCAGGACCACTTCCTTATCCCCAAGATTCTACAATGACAGGCTGAATTCATCAGTGCCCTAATCTAGCCACCCCTCTTTCTTTATCTGACTCCACAAAAGGAGAGGTTCTGGACTTTTTCTGCACAGAGGGGAAAACAACAGCAATAGCTGTTGTGTGCCAAGGTTGGGATGCTAACCAAACACTACCACCAGAAAGCAGTCCAGCATCTCACATCAGAGGGAATGGGAACCCACAGCTCTGGGGGGAATTAGCTAGGCCTGGACCTCCTTATGCAGACAGGCAGAGGAAGTAAAGGGCCTACTCCCTTTCCCCTAAAATGAATTGTAAAGGAAATATAATCACTGATCAATATTTGTGAGTCCAATATACAAAAATTCTATTTACCAATTCAGGATTGTTCAAATTTTCTGCAGTCTGTCTTTAATTAATCCTAGTTAGGTCAGAAATCTGTTTCTGAGTATAGTTACAATAGAAATAATTCAAAGTTTCCAAAATGGTGTAATTCTCAATTATAGATAAATGTCAATCAATAGAACCACAATTTTAACAAGGATCTCATAATTTCCTGGTACCAATGTAGTGATCTCTCTCACCTTCTAAAATCAGTTAGATCACCATAAAATTGACTTTTGACATTTTAAACCCTCTGACCCTTTTGATGCTAGGGCAGTCTTACCTCAACAGCCGATATACACATATTGCCAAATTTGAGCATTGTGGCGAGCTATGTTCTAATTTGTATTATAAAAGTTGAACTTCCTAAAAGTAAACCAGCAGTGGCAGTCTTGGGCAAATTATTTCTCTTTTTTCTTTTTTTAGATGGATTCTATGTTGCCCAGGCTGGTCTCAAACTCCTGTTGTACTCACCATGCTCCTGCCTCAGTCTCCCAGGCAGCTGAAACTACAGATGTGTGCCATACCTGTATTTTCTTTTTAAACAGTTATATAATGTGGACCCTGACAGCACCTATTGCACAGGGTTGCCATGAGGACATGAGAATGTGCTCAGTCAACATTAACATGATTTGTCTTGGGGTATAGGCACTAGTCTGGTTTTTTGATTGATGGCCTGTGCCCAAATTAGAGCCTACTGAACAGCTGAGGCTCAGATGCCATACCTTCTCATTGAATTTAGATGGGCAGTGTGAGGTCTCTGCTGGCCTCAGTTGTCCTCCTGTGCATGCTACCCAGTTCTGAAGATGACTTTATCACAGAGCTTCCTACCACTAAAGTTGCCGGMATTCCTGACAACACAAATATGGATCTGTCAATTAGAACCCAAACCCTGTATCCTGTCCTTCACCCTTGGGATTAGGACCTAAATCCTTGTTTATGTCCTGAATTGTCTCTTCATAACCCTCAGGGCTCCAGAGGCCACACTGTCCACTGCCATACCTTCCTACATCTGCTTTGGAGGAACACAGAGGTCTGAATAAAGGGTTTGGCACATTTGTATTTACCCTACCACATCTTGGGATGTTTATGGTAGGAAATGATTCAGCCTACACCCAGAGAGACGAGAGTCAAAACTTCCAGCATATTCTACTTCCTTCCGCAGAGACCACCTTACAGATACCCTTTTCCCATACAGCCAGAAAGGGGAAAAAATCTGACCAGTAGGGCCTTCACAGCACCCAAGTGGGGAGAGGGCAAACAGGAGTACCCTCATCTGGTATTCACTGGCCAGAATCTGGGACTCGGGAATGTATCTGTATCCTTTGAAGAAAGACTCTACACACATTTTTATAATCAGAAACACATTTTTATAATCAGAAAAAAAGTTTATTTTGAATAAACCACTCAACTTTGAGCAGATGACATTGCTTCAATTAACTTTTTCTTTGAAGAAAAACAAGATATATGATAAATTCATGAAAACACTGTGCCTCTCTTCTACCCTTGGCAGGGGGGCGGAGGAATTCTGCCTGACATCTCCCATCTTCCTAGTAATGTTAATAAAGGATAGCCACTGGGGGCACAAAAGGAAGCTCTCCACAGGTCAAGTGCTATAGGTTATTCTGGACATAGAACCCCCTGTAGCTCTAGTGGTCAGGGTCACAAGTGGATGTAAGTAAAGAATGTGGCAGCCATGAAGTCCAGAGAATACCCAGCCAGGGTGTGACAAAGATGCAGAGCTACAACACTGTTCTGTGCCCTGGCAGTGCTACAGGAAGGACTTGACAAAGAGGTAAAGGCTCCAGACACCAAGATATTTCATATGCCAATGCAGAATTCACATCCCACCCATGGTCCTGTAGGAGGTACCTTCTGTTCACAATTAGCTCCCTGTTGTCCCTTTCTGGGCTCATTTGCTACATTCCTAACCTATTCTCCCAAATCCCCTCCCTCGTTGGGGACTATATGAAGAGATAAAACTTGAGGGAAGAAAGTGAACCTGCAGTCAGCCATGTACCTTAAAAGTCACAGCTGTCCTCTGTCTTCAAGAATGACTCCGTTTACAGCTTACTCAGTACCTAGAAAATTGCTGACTGGAGGTGAAAATGTATGGACACTGAAGAACTCCCACTATAATATTCACAGATTTTCCTATAGGCTCTCCTAGGAGGTGAAGGAGGCCCTGTCAAGTATAGACAGCTCTGCCAGTCTCAGAGTGGAGGCACTGAACAAAGCCTCAGAAACCCCAGAGATCACAGATCTAACTTTTCAAAGGCCCACAGGACCAGGTTCAAGAAAGGCAGGATACAAGGCAAACTGCTTACTCTCTTGCACTCAAGTATGTGAAAGTTGTTCCTATCCTGTGGCCAGCCTTTCCTCCCAGTACAAAAACTGGGACCATAAACCAGGGATTCTCCTGGCCTTATACTCCCAGACCCTAGAGGTGGGGTCTTCTGACAGCTGGAACCAGGCAAAGGGAAACACATTCTGCCAGAGTAGCTGCTGGGCACACTCCAAGTAATATGAAAACAACTTGCACGAACTGAGCCCCTGAGCCAGGAAGGCCAATGCCCTTGAGGTGGGCCATGTCGAACTCTGACCCTGATGTTTGTAAGGAGAGTGCAGCAGGTCATTGTCAGGTATGGCTGTATGTGACCCTGGTCAGAGTTACACCACTTGAATACTGGCACAAAAGGAGAGACCAAGGTAAAGCAAATTTATTTTAAGGAACAACTCCCTTTTGAAATGATTCTCTATAGGAGACCAAAGGAAGCATGGTGCTAAACCAGCATCCCCTAGTGTGGGTGGCCACAAGCCCACCTATGTTCTGCTGTGGGTTCTGGCTTCAAATGCCAGACCCACGTAAACCTCACTTTCAAGAATAAAGATGAACCCACAGAAAATCACCTATTCTGTACTATCTCCTTACTGTCCAACTAAGGCAGGAGGCATGATGTGACTCCTTGTGCTCCATGCCTGTGACAAAGGCCAACTCAATTCCCTACCATCTGTCACTCATGTTCTTTCATTGGGACTATAGCTGTGGCCAAACATGTGAAGCTGGAAAGCAGAGACCACTCCAGGGCCCCTTGCAGTATAGATATTTTTGAGGCAGGGTAGGTGGGCAGCACATGTTACATTCCAAGTAAAATAGCTACAGGGTAAAACACTCCAATGCCAATTTATTTTTTTAAAGGGCTCTGTGTTATCCTATGGTTTGCCTTTTTTTTTTTAATATTGTACAATCTTTGAAAATTACATAAGTTGTAATGATCTAATCCTATTAATAGCCGTTCAAAAACAAATAAAACAAAACAAAGCAAACAAAACATTCCCTCCCTCCCAACAACCATCTGGGTGAATTAAAAGTCCTGAAAAGAAGCCAATTCAATATGAACTCTACCCTGGTAGAAACAAAAAGCAAAAAGATGAGAAGAAAACAAATTAACTAAAAGGTGTGTTGCCAGTGTCTCTCAGGAGTGGGGCCCTGGCTGTTGCCTGGAGTCGTGAAAGGCAGAGCCTGCAGCATGCAGTACGGCAGCCGGGAGTCCTTGCAGCCACATTTCATCCCGGCATGTCCATGTCCCAACTTAGGTATCATGGAAATCCTTCAGCAGGGTTCTTCTCCGCTGTTCTGCTATGTGCATCTGGTTCTCTAAGTCCTGCACAAAGGAAACAAGGATGGGTGTTTGCATGGTTCAGTGCCAGGAGTAGGGAGTAACCAAAGTCACACCCACCATATCAGGGGCTCCAAGGAGCCAAAGCAATGCCCTTTCCACCCTTCTCAGCAGCAGCTTCCAGTTCGCATACCAACACCCTGTCATCTATGACCCTACCCATCTTCCCTTACCTGCACTGCAAGAAGACAACAGGCACTTACCCCTCTGTCATAGCTGTCCGCTCGCTCCACTTTCCACGAAAGGTTTTCAATCTCAGCCTCTAGCTGAGCCTGCTGGTATTCAAACTGTATGGGTAGAGCAGGAGGGTCAAAAGGAGAGGGGAATGTAGCCGGGCAGAGCCTGAAGATAGAGGGTCACATGCAGTACCTCAGGCTCGCTTCAACCCCTAACAGACTATCTCTAGAGTCTCCAAACAAAAGGTAAACTAAAGAGTATGGCCAAATGGCAAGACCATACTTGTCCTCTAACACCAAGGAAAGGGAAAGAATTTAAAGACATTAAAAAGAAGGCTCCCCGGCTGGGGATGTGGCTCAAGCGGTAGTGTGCTCGCCTGGCATGAATGCGGCCCGGGTTCGATCCTCAGCACCACATACAAACAAAGATGTTGTGTCCGCTGAAGACTAAAAAATAAATATTAAAAAATTCTCTTCTCTCTCTCTCTCTTAAAAAAAAAAAAAAAGGCTCCCAACATATAGGGAAACAAATGCTGCAAAAAGTCAAAATGGATATGCTCAGACACTGTATTCACACTGAACATTTCTCTCTTGTGAAGAGAGAAAGCACAACAATTTTCCTCAATGTCTTATTTACATAGTAAAAAACAGAAACAATCAATGCCCCAAATGATGGTATAGCCACAAAATGGAAAACTAATAAAGCCATTTTTATTATTTATTTATTTTGAGAGAGAGAATTTTAATATTTATTTATTTTAAAAGTTTTCGGTGGACACATCTTTGTTTGTATGTGAAGCTGAGGATCGAACCCGGACCGCACGCATGCCAGGTGAGCGCGCTACCGCTTGAGCCACATCCCCAGCCATGAAAAAGCCATTCTTAAAAAGGAATCTACCAGTCTGGTAAATAGTGACAATTATCAAAATTAATTATGGTAATAATAAAATGTTACATTTATTATTTAATAATAAAATGTTACATTTATTACTATGTACATTTATACATATGTATGTGCACATACACACACACACACACACACACACATATTGTATGTGTGTGGTGGTGCTGGGGATTGAACCCAGAGCCTTAAACATGCGAGGCAAGTGCTCTGCCACCAAACTACACCTCCAACCCCCAGAATATTAATTCAAAAACATGGAAAATGATAATGATGGTCATTTCTGTTTGGTGGGAATATGGCTGATATAAATGTTTCTCTGTTTTCCAACATTTAAACAAAAAATAGGAATTGCTTTAGCAGGAAACAACCCATATTTAAGATGAAGAATTAAATAAAGGGATTGAAAACAATCAACTTAAGGGGGAAGAGAGCAGATTCAAAGGGGTAAATGGACAGAGGTCTTTTTTGGCCAATTGCCCCACCCCACACACTTTTATTTTAATAAAAGGGGAGGTACTGTGGATTGAACCCAGTGACACTTTACCACTGAGCTGTTTTGTATTTTGAGACAGAGTCTTGCTAAGTTGCTGAGGCTGGCCTCTAACTTGTGATATTCCTACCTCTGTTTCTCAGTTGCTGGGATTATAAGCATGTGACCAGGCCCAATGGCCATCAATGTTCAGAGGTTAGGTGCATCTGCCTTTCCATTACACAAAATGACAGTACCAAATGCCCAGAATAGAAATGGAATTTTGCAATTAGACAAGTTTTGTTTTGATTTTGACCTTCCAATACCCAGGATCAGATCCCTGTTCTCCTGCAAAAGTGCTGGTAGAAAAAGGTGCCTCTGAAGCTATAGGACAAGCATGCAGGGATTGCTTTGCCTTACCAGCTTCTTCCTGGGGCCAGACTCCATGTAGTATGCATATGGGTAGGTATATTGCAGGGTATATCGACACTGCATAGGAGGAAAAGAAAATAAACCTGTATCTGTGATTCTAACCGACCTACCTCTCAGGTGGCTCTTACAACTCTTACCTCACCATGCAAATTAACCAGGGTCTGTAGGTATGGGACTGAAAGAAATGAAGCTAAACTAAAGAATGAACGAACTAGGGGGAGACATGGGGAAAACTGAAACAACAAAGCATGGACTCAGAATACCCAAGGTTCTTTTTCAAACTAACCACCAGTAGCTACCTCATAACTTTCCCTCTTAAATCAAATATCAGAGTCCAGTTATCTATGTTACTACTCGTCCAAAGATAATAATCTCTTTTCCCTTGAGTGATGCAGAGATGCAACAAAATGAGAAGAAAAAGGGTTCCAATTTTTCCTGCAGGCAGAGGCAGTGAAAGATTCTTCTTAAAAGGTGAGGTCCTTGGTAGTCCTAACACAGGGAAATGTAAATCCATAATCAAGCATGAATGTATATGCAGGATGGCAAATCCCTCTATCCTTTAGAGATGGGGTCTCAGAAGTCTGCCCCTGACAGGGTTAGGCAAAACAGAGGGTGATCATTATACCCATAAGAAAACCCAAGAGTGAGTCGGTAGATACCTTGGCCAAGAGCTTGGCAGCATTCTGTAGATACTGCCAGTCAATCCAAGTTCCCAGATTGTTCATCACTCTCTCCTGAATCTTCTCATGAATCCGCTGGTATGTTTGTGCCTCCAGCTGTAAGCTTTTGTTGTGGTTTTCCCACTACAAAGCAGAGAGGATGGAGAAAAGTACAGGAATCCCAAGAAAGTACAGAGGTCCACATAGACGTTCAGGACAGCCACCTTGCCTATCAGGACATGACCACAGACTCCTCTAACTTATGGAAAAACTTGATGGCCCTGCATTCTCCTGCAACTCATCATTCAACCAAGTTAAGTACCAGGTCTTCCCAGTCAGCTGTGGCTGCCCTGTATAGCCAAAAAGCCACATCTAAAGAGACAACACCCAAGGCTGCTGTAAAAGCTCCCTTCACTGACTTCTGTGTGAACAGACTGGCTCTGGTCTTCAGTTACCCCAGTTATCCTATCTCAAGAGGTCAACTAAAAGAACCCTACAATGGAACAGCAGGTGCTGGAGAGAATACTTACCCTCTCAAAATAGAATAAGTACTTCTTGAGGGCCTCCCTGGCCTGGGCTTGCTGACTCTGGTTGACAATGTCAGGATTCTCTTTGTACCGACTGCACTCATAGTACTCACTGCCATGAGTCTTCCAATCTCCTAGACACATCCAGCAGAAGTCTGTGCAAAACAGAGGGTGATCATTATACCCATAAGAAAACCCAAACTGGCAAAGCAGTTAGATCAACAGACCTTGCTCCACAGGGGCAGAACCTCTCAATGRTGCCTCTTTCCAGAAGGAATGTCTATCTCTCATCCCAGTCACATTTTACTGTCCCCATATCCTGTGCTGGTCAATAGAAATGACAGCCTATGCATACTTTCCATTCCATAAGCACATGTGCTATGCACCTTACTGATCTCAGACAGATGCTAAATGTATAGTCACTGGTCTGTTATGTTGATGTCATTATAAGAAGCAAAATCTTGTTCAAATGAGGCCTACCTGATCATCCAGACTCTGATCCTCACAACCACTGCTTATTCTTGACAAGAGTTTTTATATGTGAAGCTGGGAATAAAGGCTTTTTCTTTTCTTTCTTTCTTTTTTTTTAAAGAGCTCTTTCTATAAAAGCTATATTCAGGCAACAATTCATACTCAGAATTATAATTCTGCTTTCATAATAAAGAAATCAACAAGGTAGAGCGCTCACCTTGCATGTGCAAGGCCCTGAGTTCAATCCTTAGCACTACATAAAAATGAATAAATAAATAAAATAAAGTTATTTAAAAAAAAAAAARGGAGGGCTGGGATTGTGTCTCAGTGGTAGAGCACTTGCCTAGCATGTGCAAGGTCCCAGGTTCGATCCTCAGCACCACATAAAAATAAAGATATCGTGTCCAACTACAAATAAACAATAAATATTAATACTGGTAATACTGCTGTCTATTTAATCAGCTAGGTTGTGCTTGTTCCTGTTTCGAGTACAGTCAGGGCATGGTGGAACATGCCTGTAACTCAGGAGACTGAGGCAGGAGGATTAAAAATCCAAGGTCAGCCTCACCAATTTAGCAGGACCCACAACAACTCAAATAAAAAATTAAAAAAGGACTAGGGATGTAGCTCAGCATTCCTGGATTCAATTCCTAGTACCAAGAAAAAAAAATGTATATTGTGTAGGGTCGCTCTATTAGGTGGTATAATTATAGATGATCATTAACTCTGGGTGTTAGGAAATTGGAAGACTATAGCTAAGGGTGGGGCACAGAGGGGTCTTCTGAGGCACTAGGAATATGGTAGGTACTAGAGTATCTGTCATCTTCTATTTTTATTTTTTGAGAGGGGGTCTATGTTACTCAGGCTGCCTTTGAACTCCTGGGATAACTGATCCTCTAGCCTCAGCCTCTGGAATAGCTGGGACTAAGGGCACACACCACCACACCTGCTGTCACTCTTTTCTAAAATATGTTTGCCTAACATTGTTCTTTTTTTTTTTTTTTTTTTTAAATAAACTTGCCCTGGAAGAAGGACATGATCTTTTTTTTTTATATATTTATTTTTTTGTTTTCAGCGGACACAACATCTTTGTTTGTATGTAGTGCTGAGGATCGAACCCGGGCCGCACGCATGCCAGGCGAGCGCACTACCACTTGAGCCACATCCCCAGCCCCGCCTAACATTGTTCTGTGTATGATATACTTCTACCTGATTCAAACATCTTCAGAGTCACTCTTTCCATCTAGGATCCTGTAATATGCATTCTGATTTATAAACAACCCACTATAGTTTCCTAGTCCACATCAATGAAGCCATGTAGAAGGCTACTTGAATATTTTTTCTACTTGGAAGAATTTTGTTTCTCGATCTGGCAAGAAGGAAAGCAAAATCAACAGGCTCTAGTTACGTGAAGCGTTCCTGATAGATAAAGGAGATCTGAAAAGCCAAATCAAAAGCCTCTCTGAAAATTCCTCTGGTAGGAAAGTATGATTTTACTACATCTGGTAAATCCAGGTGCAACCTGCTCTCAAGTATCTAAAGGTAGCACAGATAAGCTCCTCGCTACTTACCTTCCTTAAAAAATAATAAAGTTAAAATCTTCTTAGATGACCGAGGATCACAGATTCATCCCAAGCTTGACTTCTGACTACACGTCAGAAGGCACAGACACATACAACCACACCTGGCTGTCACTCTTCAGAGGGATTACAAAAGGGACCAATAAATAATAAATAAATAAGAAGCTATTTTATGCCTTATGATGACTACGAGTGACTAAGGTTCCCCTTTATTTTGTCATTTCACTACAAAAGAACTTTACTAAACAAGCAGTGGAGACCCAAGCACAAGAAACATAGACTGTGCCACTGGGCCTTAGGCACCAGGCCTGGGACTCACCGTGTTTACATTTGGAGCATTGCTGTCAGAGGGAAACAGAAGAGAACACATTAGGGGCACGCTGACCAAAGGCTCCATGTCATACATGCAAAGTGTACAGGCTTCTGCTCACCATATGATTGCAGCCTCCATTCTTCTCAATGCAGATGTTGCACTTGGGACACTGAGGAGACAGAACGGTGCCATTAGGCTCACGCACCATCAGGCCAGTTCTAAGACAAATTACACAAAACTCCTGGCTCCTTTGCCTAGTAGCTCATCATGCGAGCACTTCTGGGGAGGAGCATCTCATTTAAATGTGGCAGGTCGCTGAAGCTGGAACAGCAATTCAAGGAAATGAGGTCAGCATGTTTGGCTTTGAAACAATTCAAGCACCAGCTGAACCCCACTATGTCTTCCACCATGTATCTTGCCATGAAGCTGCTCAGATTAAGCACAGGCTGAATCAGCAGAAGGCCTACCTGCTGGGGAATATTGCCAAAGAAGCCTAAAACTGCCAAACTGGATTAAGTCCTAGTTGGCTTGCCTAGACTTCTGCTTCCAGAAGAGGACACTGAAATCCCAAACAGCAATGTAGACTAGTCTGATGCTGTGTCTCCCAGCACCATGAAAGAGACTTTTATTGTCATAGTCATAACTGTGCTTGTGAGCACACTGACTTGGCAAGTTAATTGGCCCAGGATACAATGGCYTCTAAAGCCTGCAGGACATTCTTTCCCATGGGAAATGAGAATTGGACAGGTCTGTGCTCATATCACAGCTTTGCTGTTTTGCTCTTTTATCAGGTATAGATGATAAAAGCATCCAATCAAAACTAGTTTTCTTTTAATTAGTTTTCCTTTGGGTCAAACTTTCCCAAATATTTTGGCATTTTATTAAATTATATACACCCAAAGCACCCTATGACAATTTGCTACAAACTCTGCCCACTCTGGGTGAATATCCATAACCCCTAACAAAAACCCTGGGACTCAATGTGTTCTGTTCTCAGGTGGCAAATCTCCAAGCCAGAGGGCCCTGGACAGCACTGAGSGCAGATTCATGACAGGTAAGATATAGTCCTTACATCTTTAGTGTGAGCACTAATGTAGTTGGCCGTTTCAGAGTCATCTGCACACTTCGTGAGCCATTTCCGGATTGTGGCGCAGTCTGTGGGGGCATGATACATCTGACGACACTTGAAACTTAAAATTAGAAAAGAAAAACAATCAAAAATTCATTGAGTCAGGGTCCAACGTTTTARTTTTTCCTTTTGTTCAAGCCAGTAGAATTTGAATTAAAGATTTTCAAATAGACAAAGTCACCTTTCAAAGCCTTTGGAACCTTTACTTAACCAGGATTATACAAATAAAATATTTCTGTTTAAACAACTTGTGTGGTGTCAACTCTATCTGAAAGGATGTCAAAACAGAGAACCCAGCTTCTTAATATATATGTGTGTGTGTGTGTGTGTGTGTGTGTGTGTGTGTGTGTGTGTGTTGCTGGGGACAAAAGCAGGGCTAGACAAGTTCTCTACCCCTGAGCTACAGTCCCATCCCTGACCTCAGCTTCTTTTCCGCCTACCTGCAGTGGTAGGGATTGAACCTAAGACTCTTGCACATGCTAGGCAAGTGAGGTACCACTGACCTACATGCCCACCTGAGTCCAGCTTCTTGAAGGGTATGGTGAGGTGCTCTAAGAAGGACCCCTTGATTCAGAACCAAAAGACTAACTTCACCTCCTAGCCACCTGTTACATGAAGATGCACAAATTCCAGAACCTGCAAAATCTGCAGGGTCAAAATATATCTGATAATACTTAAAACTTAAAATCAGAAAAGAAAAAGACTCTGATACCCATTGGTCTAGGCTCTGATGTTTTCAACTTCCTCTTTGTCCAAGCCATCAGTACTCTGTGCAAAAGCCCTTGGGTGGTAAGCCAAACAAATGCCTTAGAAAAATGAAGTTCATAATGTGGGACAAAGGATAAAGAACAACTATTTAGTTATTCTTAACTTTTGGTTTAACATACAGTCCCTTGATGATGTCTTAAAAGACAGAAGACATGTACACACACATCACATTTTCCATGTACTTCCTCTAAAGCCCCATCATGAATATTCCAGGAAGTTGCCAAGTAGGACAGATCTGAACTTAAATTACGACTCTACCATTTACTATCACCCCAATTTAGCATGTATCCTAACTGCCTTACCTATTACATACAGCCAATCACACAGTTGTGATAATGCAGGAAAAGTAATCAGGACAGCACCTGTCATCAGGTAAGCCATCAGTTAGATATTACACTATCTGCTGTATAAAGTAAACCCAAATATACATTCAAATGTAAATGTAGAATATATTTATGAATTCACATTTTACAAAAATTAGCCAAGAAAGATCATGACTGGGGAAAAAAATTTAAAACACGGAGTGTTGGGGGTGGAGCTGGCTCAAGGGTAGAAGACTTGCTGGCATGTGTGAGGCCCTGGGTTTGATGCTTAGCACCACATATAAATAAATAAATAAAATAAAAGCTCTATTGGTAACTAAAAAAAAAAAATCTTAAAAAACAAACACTGAGTGTTGTACCTTTCAAACACATATCAATGTCAATCATTTGTGCAGGTAGATCCACACAAACACAATCTCTAGGCTATGAGTAGCATAAACCATTACACATTTTCTTTTAAGAAACTATGCTATTCCTTGTCTCCAGACTGAGCATTAATGGAACATGAGGTGCTGGGCACAAACCTGCCTACTAAGAGCAGAGTTGCTTTTCTGGTTCAGAGACCCTGTTTCTCTCAGCCCCACCTTCACACAGAGCAACAACAGTGGTGCTACAGAGAAGGATGAAGCACAAGCCCAGGGCTGCTTAGCCACCCACTCAATCTTACCAGAAGACCTCATTGCACCGATTGCACTGCACTCGGCGAGCTCTAGGCTCTTGTACCCGAATAACCATGGGGCAGTCTGCACCAGGGCACAGCTGGAGCTGGTAATGACTCTGTGAACAGAGGAAAGGGAATCAATGAGAATATTGCCAATGTGCTGCCTCCAAAACAGACCTGTGTTGAGTGCTAAAATGCTTTCTTTCTGTTCTTCCACTTGTTGACAAAGATTAAGAGGCTATATATAAATTCAGAACAGATGCTGTAAAGATCAGACATTGGCCAGATAGTGAAGAAGAACTATAAAAGTTTAACTTAAACCTGGTAACAACTCACTAGAATGACCTAAGGTTATATTACAAAATCAAATATCGCAATGTATCTGTGGGCCAGGTGCAGTGGAAGGTGCTTATAGTTTTAGCTACTCAGGAGGCTGAAGCAGGAGGATTGCTTGAGCCCAGCAACTTGAGGCTAGCCTGGGTAACATGAGAAATCATCTCAAGTGGGGCCCCGGGGGGAGAGGGGGGGACTATCACTGAGATGAAAGTACATATGGACTTGGGCTGGAAAGGAACACATTCCACTCAGCTGTGAATATGATAGCTCTGTGGGCTCAATGATCCTCAGGAATCTACTAAAGGCAGCAAATATCACAAAGAAGAAGGCCTTCTGCTTATCCTGCACCATGTGCATGAGATCATAAATCAATCCAATAAGTTTAGACATAAAAGACAAAGATGAAAATTGTGCTGCATGGAATTATCATCACCAGACAAGAGCTCAAGAGAGAAAAAAATTTCAAAACTGATAATGATGGAATTCTGGATGAGGTTTCAAAATGCTAAAAAAAGAAATATCCTACTAGGCACAGTGGAGCACGCCTGTAATCCCAGCTGCTGGGGAGGCTGAGGCAGGAGGATCGTGAGTTCAAAGCCAGCCTCAGCAATTTAGGAAGACTCTGTCTCAAAATAAAAAATAAAAAGAGCTTGGGGATGTGGCTCAGGTTAAGCGCCCCTGGGTTCAATTCCCAGTATTAACCACCCCCACCCAAACAAAAGAAAAAAGAAATATCCCTTCTCTATGCAGAATCACAGTGAACTGAATGGAATCCTGAGGCTCACCTGACTTGTGTTCATTCCAATATACAATAGCTTGTTTAAGCAACTATGTATAAAGTAGGGATTTCTGTCCAGTCTATGGAACAGGAAAGCAAGACTCAAGAGAGGTAAATGAATTAGTCAAAGATCACAAACAAGGAAGCAATATATCTGGGATTTGCACAATGATCTACCTGACTACCGGGCCTATGTTCTTCACTACCACTCTAGTGGTTTTTGAACTTTTTTAAAGCCATGGAACTATCTCTCCAAACAACAATACCTAAAGAAGCCTCACCTATAAAATAACTATGGTAACCATCAAATACAGATAAGCCCAATAAAAGAGAGGGCAGAAAAACAGGGGTCAGTCATACCTCCACGTAATCCCTGAAGAGGTAGCGCCTATATTTGTCTTTCAATTCTTCATTGGGAAGCAATGGAAACACAAAGTCTTCTGGTGTACGGAGTGGACAGTCCTGAGCCATACAAGAGACTCCTGTTGAACAAAGACAACCTGATGGACAACCATATTCTAGGAGACATAATACTTGCCCACTGGGTTCAAACAACAAATTCAGATTCCCTAAGAAATGCTTGGGGACTGGGGTTGTAGCTCAGTGGTAAATCACTTGCTTTGCATGTGTGAGGCACTGTGCTCAAATCTTAGCACCACATAAAAATAAATAAATAAATAAAGATATTGTGTCCATCTACAACTAAAAAAAAAATTTAAAAAAAGAAAAGAAGGGGCTGGGATTGTTGCTCAGCAGTAGAATGCTTGCCTAGCACCGGCGGGAACCGGGTTCGATCCTCAGCACCACATAAAAATAAAGGCATTGTGTTGAGTCCATCTACACCTAAGAAATAAATATTTAAAAAAAAAGAAAGAAAAAAAAGAAATGCTTGAAGCAACAGAATTTATTCTAAGAGGAGAACCTACACATTTCCATAGCAATGCAACAATACTGATCCACATTTATATATACATATATATCAATAACACCACAAAATAACAATTTCTATGGATCTTTTTTTTATAGATTTCTTGACTAATGAGATAGTTCTGTATGATAGTTCTGATATTTAATATTATGTGCTTATGATTATTATTAATACAATGAGATTTTATAGATACCATTAAATGTGATAATTAGTAACAATGTCATCAAGTCATAGTAAAACAAATACTCCTGAAGCTAATCACTAAATTTGATTTACGCTATGTTGTCTAAATAGCAGCAAACTCTCTTAGGTGTTTCTGAGTTATGGCTGCCACCAAGATAAGAGTAAGCAGCTTAAAGGGCTGTTCACCTAAAAGGTGAGAGAGATAACCTTGTGCTTACACACTAGTATTTACAATAGCTTTAATTTCCTTGTTTTGCTGAGGACTGGGGCAACCTCTGCCACTATGTGAGCTGATGTGTTTAAAAATCACTAGTTCTGATGATTAAAAAGCTCAGTCTTAGAAGAAAATAGTCAAGTTAAATAGAGTATGAAAAGGTAGATTTGAAGATAAGTACTTCATATACCAGCCTTTTACACGTTCCATGACAGACTCACCCACACCCACGCCATCCTTGACTAGAACCGAGCAGTGCTGTTCCCAGCAGCTGCGGCAAAACTGGTGCTGGCAGGCCAGAGACAGTAGGTTTTCTTTCCGCACAAATTGCATACACACTGCACAGTGATGAGGGGGATGGGTGGTAGGGACCTGGAGAGAAGTAAATCCATGTGAGCAAAAGAAGCCTTCAGGTCTAGGGAGGCCACAGGACAGCCTCAAGTAGTTGGGTACATGGAAGTGATCCTGACTTTGCAATAAGTGTCAAAGCCCAACTGAAATGTGTGGACTCTTGAGTCCCAAAGTGGTTAAGTAGCAAAGGGACTAAGTAGCAAAAGGGATAAAATACACCAGAAGGACTTTCTGAGGGAAATAGTACCTGAGCTGAGCTTGCAAAATCACTAGGAGTTAGAGGAAGAGAGAATGAAATTAAAATTTACAGTTGTTTATAATGTAAACCAGGTTCAGTGAATTAAATTGGATTATATAGGATTGTCAGGTATGGTAATGCACACCTATAATCCCAGCAAACTGAGAGGTTGAGGCAGGGGGATCTACTCCCATTCAGCATAGCACAGAGTTGGTCCTCAATAAGTACAAACCCAGTCATAAAGGTTCTTAGAAGCTGAGTCTGTGAAGCTTCTCACAGCATATACTACAGTATTTATTACATGTCAAGTACAATGGTTTTTCCACATCAATATGCTCAAATCACTGAGTGCATGCCCATAATCCCACCAATTTGGGAGCTGAAGCAGGAGGATTGCAAGATGAAGGCCAGTCTCAGCAACTTAATGAGGCTCTAAACCCCTAAACAACTTAAGCGAGAGACACTGCCTCAAAAAAAAAAAGCGGAGCGGGGATGGGGGGGTGGTTTGCAATGTAGATCAGTGGTCAAGTGCCCCTTGGTCCAATCCCCAGTTCAAAAACAAAACAAAACATTGACCAAACCACAAAATATTATAGATTTTACCAAGTTACAACTCATCCTTAATATATCAAAAAGATGTCACAGATTAGGGAGGTAAGATATGAATTAATCACTACATCACACAATGTATATATAATCAGACAAGTTTGGAGGGAAATGATCTCAGGGAAGAGGCTTTGTGAAATGGTGGCTTGGATTTGAAATCTTTTTTTTTTTTCTTTTAGTTCCAGGCATTGAACCCAGAGATGTTCAACCACTGAGCCAGCCCTTTTTCTTTTTATTTTGAGATAGGATGTTACTAAATTAATTAGAGCCTTGCTAAGTTGCCGAGGTTAACTTTGAACTTTGATTCTCCTGCCTCAGCCTCCCAAATTGCTGGTATTACAGGCCAATGCCACCATGCCTGGCTAGGTTTTTTTTTTTTTTTTTGTGTGTGTGTGTGTGTGTGTGTGTGTGTGTGTGTGTGTGTGTGTGTTGCTGGGGATTAAACCCAGGGCTTTATTCATGCAAGGCAAGGTACTCTACCAACTGAGCTATATCCCCAGCCCCTGGATTTGAAGGTAAATTTACCCCTTTATCTTTAAAGGTAAATTTCAGTCATTCGTGGTGGCAAATGCCTATAATCCTAGGTTCTTAGAGGCTGAGGCAGGAGAATTTCAAGTTTGAGGCCAGCCTTGCCAACTTAGTGAGATCATGTCTCAAATAAAAAAGAGATAAGGTGACAGAGGACCGCTGGGTTTGATCACCAATATTGAGGGAAAAAGAAGGCAAATTTCATTCCTACAAGTCAATATGGGGACAGAGTCCAAACATTCTGGGTCAGAAAAGGCATAAACAGAATCAAAGAGGTATGCAGTGATCTTGACAACACCAAAGCACCTAGAAGGAAGGGAGTACAAGCTATGTGTAAGTGCAGACAGAAAGGAAGGTAAGGCAAGGCTGGAAAGAACCCAGGGACAGGCAATGAGTTACTCTCTATAAAGGAAACATTTTTTGGCTGGTGGTACTAAAGATAGTATCCAGGGCTTCACATCTACTATACAAATGTCCCACTCTGGAACTACATCTCTGGCCTGAAACTATAAAGATATAAAAGATTTAGGTCTGGCATGCTCACTGGTTGGACATGCTTGCTACAAACAAAGCGAAAATGTTTCTCCATGATACTAAGCCTTAGCAAGAACAATGTGAATCCAGAGAAGCCCCACTCAAATCGAAGATACTTACATGTTTTGATGGATTGGGCTGAACCCGTGCCTCAACAAGCAGTTGAGAAGAATTGGACTTGTATCTACAAAACAGAAAGCAGAAATAAAGGAAATCAGAAGCTAAAGACATTTTTACTAGTAAAAATGAAGAGAAAAGACCACCATATGTTGTGGATACATTACCTTTTCACAGAACTAAACTTCGTTTTTATCTGAGTAGAAAGATTTTGTTCTCTTTCAACATTTCAGCTCTCTATCAGTATAAGGAAAAATAACTGCTTCAAACTTAATGAACTACAAAAATATTTATAATAGACCAGATCTGTTTTAGATCTAGTTAAGGAAATATAGGCAAATATCTCAAATACCGTCTTCAAGATAGAAGAATTCCTAAGGACTCAAAAGGCAAAATATAAGAGTCTAACAAATTATGCTGCATTTAAATTTATCAAAAGATACCATATGTGAAAACCTGCCATATATTGGAAGATAATCATTGTGTGTATCTCTTATCTATAAACTGGCAAAGAATTAGTATCAGAAGAAATTAAAACTAAAAGTCCATTTCAAAAGACAAAATAACAAAACAAACAAACAAAAAACCACAAGAAAAAGAACAGGCATTTCACACAGGGGACAGAAAAAAAAAAAACGAAATTAAAAACAAAAGCCAGGGATGGTGACACAGGTCTATAATTCCAGCTACCCAAAAGCTGAGGCATGAGAATTCCAAGTTCAGGGCCAGTCCCTGAAGCTTAATAAAATCCTGATCCAAAATAAAAAACTAAAAGTAAAAGGGTTGGGCTCAGTAGTAAAGTGTGCCCCTAGGTTCAATCCCAAGTACCAAAATAATCCAAACACCAAACAAACCAACAACAACCAAAAAAAAAAAAAGAGAAGAGAGAGAAACATTGAAATATCATTTATTACTACCAGATTACAAAATTTAGACAGTATCAGGATCATTCAAATACCACTGATGGAAACAAAGTTGAATAAACACTTTGGAGGGCAATTTGGGCCAGGTATGGGGACGCATGCCTATAATTCCAGCCACTTTGGCGGTTAAGGCAGGAGGATGGCAAGTTAAAAGTCAGTATGTCAGTATGGACAATTTAGCAAGACCTTGTCGCAAAATAAAATAAGAAAAGCTGGTAGCCGGGTGTGGTGGCACATTCCTATAATCCTAGAGGCTCAGGAGGCTGAGACAGAAGGATAGCAAGTTCCAAGTCAGCCTCAGAACTCAGTGAGGCCCTAAGCAAATTAGTGAGAGCCTGTCTCAAAATAAAAAAATAAAAAGGGCTGGTGGAGCTAGGATTGTAGCTCAGAGGAGAGCACTTGCCTGGCATGTGTGAGGTACTGAGTTCAATACTCAGCACCACATAAATAAATAAATAAAATAAAGTTGTGAGGGGAAAAATTTTTTGAATAAATAAATAGGGCTAAGGATGTGGCTCAGTGGTTAAGTACCCCTAAGTTCAAATCAGTACTTTTAAAAAGGGGGACAGCCTGGGAATGTAAATCAGTGGTCCAATCCTCAGTACTGCCCCGCCAAAAAAAAAACAAGGTAAGATAATTGTTATGTGACTACCTTTCCCTATCTAGTCAGAATGCTTCCTTCAGCTACCTTTATTAAAAGATCTGTTTTATACCTGGTTCTCAAACTAGTGTTCTAAACACTTTTAGCAATTCAAATATATACTCTCAAGTTATGCTGGAGAGTTTGAACAGTTGAGAGAAACCCCATTACCAGAACCCATGTCCAATAATAGTAATAAAAGTTCATTTGCAATTGTATCCAAACATACTGAGCTCTGAAGTACAGAGCATGCCAAAGTTAGGGAATCAAATCATTTGACTTTTCCTGATTGTGCTGAGCTGCTCCAGTTGATATGGCTACCCCAGCCATATATAGCTTGAAGAACAGAAGGCATAATCTTCTTTCATAGATCAATGGAAACACACTACATGGAGAAAGGAAGACTTGCTGCACTGCAAGTGGGTGGAGATAGTAATTCTGCTTCTCACCTAGGGAAATTTTGTTCTCCAGGGATTATCTGACATACAATGTTTAAAGAAATTTTTACTGTCAAAGACTTAGGGATGACTTTCCTTACCTGACTTTGAGTAGGCCAAATCCAGAGGCACTAACAATCATTCTATAACCCAGAGAGCAGTGCCCCACAAAACAAAGAACTATCCACTTGGATGCAGTGGCACATATTTGTAATCCCAGCTACCAGTGGTGCTGAGGCAGGAGGACTGCAAGTTCAAAGCCGGCCTGGGGAATTCAGTGAGACATAAAAAAATATCCAAACATGAAAAACTTAAAAGGGCTAGGGATATTGTCTGGTGGAAAAGTGCTTGCCTAGCATTGGCAAGGCCTAGGGCTCAAACCCCAGTACTGTTTTTTTTTGTTTTTAGGAGGAGAAGGAGGGGAAGGCGAATGAAGGATCTAAAGAAGGAAGGAACGACCTAGCAATTCCACTTCTGCAAATCCCTTCTTAGGGGAAGGAGAAGGGAGGGGGGGGAGATAAGGAAGAGAGGGGAGAGGGGAAGGAAGGGAGAGAGGGAGGGAGGGATGATATAGCCCAAAATGTGCTAAGGATGAGAAACACTGAGCTAGACAGAGGCATATGCCTCTGAAGATAGGACATAAGAGATCTATTCAGAGAACGGAAGAGGACACCTTTTCATGACAACATCTAAAATATCTCTAAGGTCTGAGGTTCAAGAACTCTGGTTCTGGAGGAGGTGAGAAGGAACACTCAAATATCCTAAGGCAGAGGTATGTGGTAAAGTGGCCACTTTTTCTTTTTCAAAATTTTTTTAGTTGTTGATAGGATAGACCTCCATATAAATAGAGGTGCTGAGAACTGAACCCAGTGACTCACACATGCCAGGCAAGTGCRCTACCCCTGAGCCCCAGCCCCTTTTTTCTTTTTTTAGTATTAGGAATTAAATCCAGGAGTGCTTGACTGCTGAGCCATATCCCCAACCCTTTTTATTTCTTATTTTGAGACAGTGTCTCACTAAGTTGCTTAGGGCCTTGCTAAATGCCTGAGGTGGCTTTGAACTAATCCTCCTACTTCAGTCTCCCAAGCCACTGGGATTACAGGTGTGTACCTCCATAGCTGGCTTTTTGTTTTGTTAACAGTACTAGGGATTGAACCTAAGGCCTCAAACATGCCAGGAACATGCTCTACCACTGGACTACATCTCTAGCATTTTTTATTTTGAGAAACAGTGTATCACTAAATTGATGAGGGTGACCTTGAACCTGTCAACCTTTCCTGGCTCAGCTGCTGCTTCTTTTTTTTTTAGAAAGAGAATTTTTTAATATCTATTTTTTAGTTTTCGGCAGACACAACATCTTTGTTTGTATGTGGTGCTGAGAATCGAACCGGGCAGCACGCATGCCAGGCGAGCGTGCTACCGCTTGAGCTACATCCCCAGCCCCTGCATGGGCTTTTTTCTTCTTATTATTTTTTGGTATTGGGACTGGAATCCAAGGACACTTTACTACTGAGCTACATTCCCAGTTATTTTTTTTTAACCTTTATTTTATTTATTTTTATGTGATGCTGAGGATCGAACCCAGGGCCTCGCACATGCTAGGCGAGCACGTCTATTGCTAAGCCACAACCCCAGCCCAATTATTTTTTTATTTTAAAGATTTTACTAAGTTCCTTTAGGGCCTTGCTAAGGTGCTGAGCCTGGTCTCAAACTTGTAATCCTCTGCCTCAGCCTCACCAGTAGCTGGGATCACCGGCATGTGTCTCCAGATCTGTTGATGGCCGATTTTTTCTAAAGGCAATATGCCATGTATTACGACACATCCTTACTTGATATATCCAAAAGAAGTGGCTGGAGATGTTGGCAATGTTATCTAGAAGGAAACTGATTAAAATCAACAATAGCACAGAATATTTCAACTAACTTCACTAACAATAGAAATTTAGATAAAGTATGGAACGCCTATAATGAAATACTGTGCTAACATTAAAATTGAGGTATAATATGCTATAGACATGGGAAAATGCTCATAATACACTGAAAGAAAGGGATGTACAATATGATCCAGTGTTTTAAAAATTTAATATGCACATTAGAAGAATATACTCCAAAATAAAAACAATAATCACTAGTGGGTAAGGAGGCAGAGCAGGGAGCTATGGACAATGTCATCTCCTCTCCCCTAAAGACCTTACCTGTCCATTATCTCTGAGACTTGCCAGTGGAAATTAACTAATATGAGTTTGGCGACTGAATGAGATACCTGAAAAGAAGAAAGAAAAATCAAATTAACTGAAGTTGCTTTTAGAATGCTATATACTTTGAGAAATGCATATATTCACATCTATCCCAGGCTCGGGCTTGAGTTCCATTTTTTTCTCCTGATACTGTTTTTCTCTTTTAAGTTCAGACTCATAAAATCCTAATGATTTTATGAATCTCTTGATTTTCAATCTTTGTTTTGGTGAATGACCCTTCTAAAAAAATTGCAAACTCTAATTCGAAACTTAACAAAACCACTTATTCTACAGTAAGTAACAACTTAGCATCTAATATGAATGAAAGAGCTATGGGTTCTCTAATGTAATGTATATTCCTGCAGGGTGTCATAGGAAGCCATACACCTCTATCTAGGCCTTATATTGCAGAAAATCTCCTTGTATGAATTCCACAAAGAAAATAACCAAACTCCTGTCTAGAATCCCTGGATTCCTAGCATCTGATGAGCACTAACTGCAAAGACTTTTTAAACATTTGTGAGCAGTCTTTCTGGCCCAGACATTCTATTAGGGAACATTTAAAGCACATGGTTCTAGCTATTAAAGAGCCTCAGAAGGTATTTTAAACTAGCAATTCCTTTTACAAATTCCTTCTTAGAAAGGACAGTGGATAAGTGAGCCACTGGGTTATTTACAATAGTAGAAAGTTACAATAACTTAAATTGTCCAACAAAAAATGAGCTAGGTAAATAATATAATGACAGATTCATGCAATAGGCTACTATGTAGTTTTTGAAAAGAACATTATAGATGTTTATTGAGAGAAAAATTTCACATTTCAATATTAGGTTAAAAAAGCAAGTATTGAGATAGCATATTATAATCATAATATCAGCCATAATATCTTGGTAATTGTCAAGTAAAAGCTAACAATTCACCTTAAGTGTCAAAACTAGGGTGTGTCCATAATAGATTGGGATGTGGTTGGAGGCCTAGATCAAACTTTTCAGACAGCACTGTAACAGAATATGAGGGTACCACTAAATCAAGAAATAAGGAACAAACTTCAGGCTGGAAAAATATGTAGAACATACTTTGCTCACTGGACTGAGTCCTTACATGCATCCACTAATGACTTGTAAGACAGGGCCTGCCTGGTCCACAAAAAAGAACTTCAGGAGGAAGACAAAGTAACCAATATGTGATCCACATCCCTGGAGCTCAAGTCACCCTTGAAAGGAGACTAAACTTAACATTTTTAAAAGGGCACACTCACTGTCAAAGGCTAAATAATCAATGAATGTCTTCCTGTCCTACAGTCTGTCTATCTAGAGGACTCAAAGACAGTTTACTTCAAATGGAGCAGGGGTCCCCACTCGCCTTCCACAAATTGTAATACATGTTGCCCAAGTATTTTCTTACTGAGGCCCATGGAAGGCCTGTTTCCTCACTTAGAGCTGATGTTTTCTAATTGTGGCCCTAACAAAACTATTCATTACAACAGACCACTATCATGAAATGAAAATAGAAACCAGACATTTGGTTTAAACTTTAACAACTGAATGTAGCTTTTGTTTAAAAATACTTTTTTAAAAACTTGAGTTATGGGCATGGTGGCACACACCTGTCATCTCAGTGGCTTGGGAAGCTGAGGCGGGAGGATCAAGTTCAAAGCCAGCCTCAGCAATTTAGTGAGGCGCTAAGCAACTCATCGAGACCCTGTTTCTAAATAAAATATAAAAAGGGGTCTGGGGATGTGGTTCAATAGTAAAGCACCCCTGGGTTCAATCCCCAGTAACAAAAACATAAACAAAACTATGACAGTTATACTACTATTATATTGTTTTGGATAAACTCGTTCTTTGACCTAGTGAGGCTTAATCAGCATCACACCCACTGCTTCCTATATGTCTCACTATGCTCCTCTCAGATCCACTGAGCCCAGAACTAGACTGGATATAGAATGGCCACTCAGTTATGCTGATTACTAAATGATAACATGCATTTAAAAATAAATTCTGCTATTTCTTCAGGAAGGTCAAGAAAGTTTAACACTGAAAAAAATCTGACACCTTTATCTCAACAGCACTAATAGCAACAACAAAGCTTCAGAGTAAAACATGAGGTAGAGTCCACCTACAGATAACATAGCCCTGTTAAAGAAGAGCCAGGGCAGGGAGACACTAGCCCTTTATAAAAGTGGAGTGACATGAACAGCCAGGAATACATCAATATACACAAGATAGCAGACACACTCAAGTGTCAGCCACACAAATCTCCCACCAGCCTCTGTAGGAGGAACTATTTTGATAACCAAGTCACAGCAGTGACAGACTGCCCATATAGTGTCCATAGATCCACTAGAGGACTGAATAAGGTGGCATACACCTGTAACTCAGCTACTCAGGAGGCTGACATAGCAGGATCATAGGTCCAAGGCCAGCCTCCACAGCTTAGGGAGACAATGTCTCAAAATTAAAAGGGTGTGACTACCAGGTAGGGTGGCGCATGCCTGTAATCTAAGCAGCTCAGGATAGAGTTCAAGAGTTGATAGAGGATCAAGAGTTCAAAGCCAGTCTCAGTAACAGCAAGGTGCTAAGCAACTCAGTGAGACCCTGTCTCTAAATAAAATACAAAATAAGGCTAGGGATGTGGCTCAGTGGTTAAGTGCCCCTGAGTTCAATCCCCAGTACCAAAAATAAAAGTGTGACTGCACCTCAGTAATGGACACCAGGTTCCAAAAAGCCCTGTAAGTAAAAGTAGCACAGGGATGGAAGAAGACAAAGAGAAGATGGTACTCTAGAAGAATTTATTCTGAAATATTGTCTCAGAAGGGAAGCTATCCTTTTCCTGATTTAGGTCACAATGAGTAGGCTGTACCTACTCACCTAGCCCAGTAGTTTTCCCAAGGAAGAAGTGGCTTCCTGGCAAAAGAGATAGGACAAGACTTTTGGGGTGATATCAAGCCAGATTAAAAGTAAAAAACTCAGTCTCTGTGCAAATAGCCGATTTTTCTCAGAACTAGTATTCAAATCATGCTATTTAATATTCCAAGAGCTCAGGAATCTGCTGGGCTCAGTGGTACATGTCTATAATCCCAGGTATTAAGGAGGCTGAAGTARGAGGATCAAAAGTTGGAGGCCAAAATGAGAAACTTAGTGAGACCCTGTTTCACAATATAAGAAAAAAAGGGGGTGGGTGGGATATAGCTCAGTTGTAGAATGTTTGCTGAGCATGTGCAAGGTCCTGTTTTCAGTTCCTAGTACCCGCCCCCCAAAACACACACACATACACGGGAGTGAGCTCAGCAATCTACTCAGAACTTATTAACAGCCAACACTTCTAGTTATAGAAAGGTCCTCCACCCCTTTTGCCCATTCAGTATATGTTCTATAGAGAGAAATCTTCCAACAGATTAGGAGGAACTCTTGCTGTGCAATTGGGCTAACAATCTGTTTGTAGTAAGGATTAAGTATTATGAAGATGACTTATAAGGAAAAGAATAAACCTTCAGCAAAAGGAAAATGGGTCCAGGGTAGTAATATATCATAACATGCTCCAAAACTTATTACTTAAGAAGGTATATATAATCAATATCCTGTTAGATCAATGTAATAAAAGGCTTATAAATCACATTGATTTATGAATATTTTTTCTACTTTAGAAATATTAACCGAGGAAAACATTATAAATGAAGAACTAGGGGCTGGGAATGTGAGTCAGCGGTAGAGTGCTCGCCTAGCAACAGCGGGAATCGGGTTCAATTCTCAGTGTATTTATAAATAAATAAATAAATAAATAAATAAATAAATAAAGGCGTTGCACCTAAAAATTAATAAATAAATATTTTTAAAATAAATAAATAAATGAAGAACTAGAAACCACGTTGTCCAAAAATTCACATTCCCAAGATAAATACTTGCAGAGTAATCTGCATCTGTCATCACAGAGACAGAACCTACGTTTATTGTTCTCTTCATCTCAGGGGCCAAAGAGTCCCTCTCAAAGGGAATGGGTTGCCATTTCTATTAAATCCTTATTCCACTATTCCCCAGGAGAAAACTATCTCTGATAGTTACTTGGGACACTTACAAGATCATGAGTTAAGAAATGTGTGTTGGGGCTTTGAGTGCTGGGGATCAAACCTAGGGCCTTGTGCATGGTAGACAAATACTCTAAGCTATATCCTTAGCCCAATTACAATAAATTTAAACAAACTCTCAACAGCACAGAGATGTTTCCCCCATCCCAAATGTTAAACTACATATTAAAGCCATTTAAAAAAGAAAAAAATTAGTTGCAGATTAATAGAATGCCTTTATTTTATTTATTTATTTTTATGTGGTACGAGGATCGAACCCAGTACCTCACACATGCTAGGCAAGTGCTCTGCCACATTCCACTGTGACTCTGCTGAGCCACAACCAAGCCCCTATATTAAAGCCATTTTTTAAGAATTCATAATTTATATATAATAGTTCAGAAAGTTTAGTGGCTTTGATTACTAAATTCAGTTTAAAAAATCCTCTTGGATTATTTCTGACTTTAATTCCATGTTTCATAATGTGACGATTTTTTATTTCAACCACTAAATTTCAATCTACATAGAATTGCCAACAGTAGTTATTCTAAGATATTCATTATATATATACACTAGACAATAAATACAAACTCCCTTGTTGCCAAATTAAACAAACATCTCTTATGCTTCTTAAAATTATTTATTTTATTTATTTAATTTTTAGTTGTCAATGGACCTTCACTTACTTTATTTATTTATTTATTTATATGCAGTTCTGAGAATAAACCCAGTGCCTCACACATGCTAGGCAAGCGCTCTTCCACTGCACTACAATTCCAGCCCTCATGTTTTTATTTTTTAATTTTTGGCAGTACTGGTGAGAAGGGTAGGGGAGGATTTGGTCGTGTGGGGGGTGCARTGCATACCATATTCCCATACCTTTCAAAGTAGGCTTACTTTTGACTCCACATCTCACTCTTCCTTACCACTTCACCTTCTTCATTCCACTTCCCAATCTCCTCA